ATTAGGGAGAATTGCAGTGTACTAGCCAGTTCATATCTTCCCGATTTCATAGTAAAATCCAGAGATGTTACTATGTAGCAAGAAATCTGTTTCTCAAAACCATTTGAAATGCTTAGCGAGGAATAATCAAACTAACAAGTGTAATCCAAAGTGAGATATTTTACATTACCTGTGCTTTTCCATGTTGATCTGATTTTCTTGTTTAACAATACTATTATAAGCACTGAAATAAACGATAGAAACTGCTTTTCATATCAAAAAATGCCGTAGCCTAACTTTGTCATTCAGTTGCCTGAGTAGGCAACTGTTTACTGGCTCATACATGTTTCTTCTATGAACATAATCTCTTCTTTCCACAACATTTACCTGAAGAGTAAGAGCAGTTGGAGGCTAAATTAATTAAGAAAACAGACATGTATAGAATTAGTCACAAGCAGCTTTACACCAAATGAGGTGTAGGCAGGTTAGTGGTCTGGGCTTCCTCCATAGGCAGCGGGAAGAAGAGATACATTTTGAGGTAGATATTGTCCTATTATAAGAAGAAATCTAAGATAGTTGGGATGAATGCCTTCTGAATGTGTTCCTTTACACTGAGCTTTAACTGTTACAGATGAGACACCTCCTTTCAGCAAATCTTATTCAGTGGACTTTTGTATGATATGAACGTCTGGGATTGAAGGGTAGGGCCCTGAAAGAGCATCCTTTGCCTGCTCTTTTGTTTCCTTGTCCCTGAATACTTAGACTAGTATTAAAAATAAAGTTAACAAATAAAAGTAGAGAACTGAAATATTCTTCCTGCCCTTCTCCAGATATAATACTTCCTTCCTGAAAGATGTAGGGCTCCATGTTACAAATCTTTAGAATCTGTATCTCCCTCCAGCTAGCATCCATTCTATTCTACTTCATTATTTCTTTGTTGGTCTGTTCAGGTCACAGAAACCCTGGCCACAGTGCTACAGGGAAAGGCCTATTGGATTCTTCCTCAAGACTTGCCATGAGTAAGATCTCTGGTCAATCTTAAGGTTATAAGTATGGCCTTAACATGGTGCTCTGAACAATTTATTTAAGAAGAAATTAGAAGAATGGTTAAGAGAAGCTGAATTCATTGGAACAGGTAATTTCTCTTTCTTAGGCCTAAAAATTTGGAAGAAAAGAACCATGGAAGTTGCATAAGCACAGTCATGGGAGAATGTGGCTCTGAATTTAAATTAATTCTTTTCATTTTTAAGAGTATTTGAGGAAAAAAAAGGCTAATGCCTAAGGGCTGTTAACAAAGAGAGATGAAAATATCTTCAGCCCCTCTAGGATAGAGAAAGAGAGAGATAATTGTTCTTTGTGACAGTTTGCGTGGAGGTACAGTGAGGGAAAATCTGTAATGAGTGATGAAACTACAGACCTTGTTGAGGTCATGATTTTTAGTCTCTAACAGAGTTACAAATTTCAGTTCCCAAAGTCATCTTTTGAAGGTTGCAAGTTTTTTTTGTTTGTTTGTTTCATTGGTTTTTATTTTTCCTTTTGGTATGGAGCTAGGCAGAAGCCCTGAAAGTCCTCCATAAAATGAGGAGGGCCCACTGCATATGTAGAGAAATACCAACTAGTTATGATTTATATATGAAGTCATGAGCTTTACATAAACACTTGTATGGTAAAAAGTCCAAGAAAAAAACATTTTTTTCCTGCATTTTCTGCTGTCCAAGCATAACCAATAGCACTAACAAACCTTGTTAAATTCAGTTATTCCATACATCAGCACTTCAGGGATGTCCAAGCTGAAAAAAATACCAAAACAACAAAAACCTTAAAAAAAACCCCAACACCTGATCATTCCTGTTTTGGGTGGATCAAAACTTATTTATGATAAACAGAGATATTTCAGTGGCTGTTGAGTTTGAGTGCATTTCTAAGCCTGATTTTCATATAAACAAATAGGAAATAAAAAGGAATCTTCAGGTTTTGTAATTAGAAGTTGTCATGTTTCTTTTGGTTAATTGAGTGACTAACTCAACAATTTGCTCTCCTACAGGAAGATTAATATATAAAGTCCCATTTGAAATGAATAATTCTATCTATTGTATGAACATTTTAGTAGGAATGAATGGAATAATTTTCTTGCCATAACTTCAGATGTGCAGCAAAAGCTATTCTTCTGAGATTGACAGCAGTAGACTATTATCAACCAGGCAGGGAGCTCCAAGGCAGTTGGTTGCATATTTCAAGAAAGATACCTGTCCTACAGATTAACTACAAAAAAAATATATCCGTTGTACTAATGCTAGATGTATTTATAGAGAAACATATGAGGTTTATAGTAATATAGTGAAGATTCTTTGATTGCCTTTATGCTGTAGCTGAAATGAGGTGTTGGTATATTCCCATCATTTGTGGTGTGTACTTATTGGTCTAAGGTTTGCTCCGGGTAAAACTATCCTTAAAACAAACACTCAGTTCTAAGTTACATCTCTGAACCTGTAGGGTGACTCCATGTGGTTTCAACTTTACCCTTTGACAACAAATTATTATTTATGTAAGCTGTCAAATCTGGACAGGACAAGCAGCTGCGTGAGAAAAAAAATGAAACACATAAACCATAGTGAGAAGCATGAGGCTCCGATAACAAACTATACTTTCCTTTCTGTATTTAGTCCACTAAGAGTGAATTATTCATTACAATCAAGCTACAGCTCCCCTAGTCTTGCCATTTCATCCACAAGTTTGTTGAAAATTAAAGCTCAGCATGAAACCTCCAGAGAATTACTCTGACTTAATAACACCTGCAAAGAACAGAGATTTACTGTGAGGTAAATTGCCATGTGATTGCCCACACATCAGCAAAAATTATAATTGGAAGAAATTGAATATTTTCTCTGTATTTAACTGGTGAGGATTTTGTAGGGTATCATTTTACGTTAAGTAGTAGAGTACAATTTAGAATGTTTCACAGCAACAGATTGCGTTTGTTTCAACAAGATTTCTTTTTTATGAAAGGACTTCTGCTACTGTCAGCTGCAATTGCAACTTCATGCAATGAGTATTTAGAAACCTCTCTTAATCTTAGGGAATATTGTCCAAGACTTCCTTTAAACTATAGATTTCACCCCCCTCTCTGTGATGTTTTGTGAATTTACCTTTACCCTACCTAGCTTTACCCTACCTAGCTTAGCTCTAAGTAATGATTTTGATCTCTCCATCTGTAGCACAGGTACACTCTGCAACTCCCTTGACAGCAGTGGAAACTACCCAAAGCATACTTCTTTGTTTCTTCCAGATGTTTCAGGAATACACTAATAACTAATATGAAAAATTCAGATGGAGCTCCTAAATCAAATTGAATATTAACGTTATCATGTATCCAAAAAAGGAGAGAGAAACAAAGAAGTCAAATTGTCTTGTCTCCATATTGTGCTGCATTTTTATATTCTGAGGTATTGCTGTCTGCATTTTCCAAGAGCCCTATATCAATGCACAAATCACGTTTGGAGTAGCATTCAGGCTTCTGTTTGATGACAATAACAACCCTAGTAAAAAAATCATAAGGCTCAAGACAAGTCTCCAAGGACAGCCTTGGAGAGAGAAATTTCTGCCTATGCCTTCAAGAGAACCATGTCCACAGGCCAAATGGATTGTCAGTGACATCTCGTTTCAGATGTGTGGTGAAACTTGCTTCAAACTCACTATATGCCTTTCACAATTACTGGAATAAAATATCTCTGGTGTTGAAGACAAGCCTATAAGAGACAAAGAACTCATAAGTTCATGAATGTGTTGGGCAGTAATAGGTAGTGGGCGCTGCTGCTGTATGTAATAACTGAGCTATTCTTACTGCAGCAGAGCTTGAGGCTAATATAACACAAGTTCATTTCCTTCAATCAACATGGGATGTATTAAAAAATAATTTGCTGGTCTTTTCAGGCACAGATAACTGCCTGCTCTAGAGGCAACTGAAAAGTGTAGTGACACAACAAATCCCTACCAATGGACCAATCTTCCCTTTCCATAACCTTTCAAAGCATTTTCCCTTTTCACTTAGGAAGGGAACTGTGGGAAAGTGGGTCTCCAGCACAGAATTATCTGTAAATGGTGGCCTCTATCTTCAAGCTTGTGATGTTTATATCACTGTCTGTGGTTCATCATAGAGTTTAATTCATGTTACAGGGCTGGGCAAAGACCTGATGTTTGGCTCTGGGCTCTAGGAAAGAAGAGAGGAAACAGGTGTGTTGTATAAGCAAACCTTCATGTGTCAGCAACCATGTGCTTATCAGATGAATTTATCTGCTCCAGCTGCACTGCTCTAAGAGTGGATCTTTCATTATATACTTATCTAATGTATTATGTGTATGAAATGTGCTGTCAGTTTCTTTCAGAAAAGAGTTTCATGGCATAAGGAATGTAATTATGAGGATGATCTAGCATCATCATAGGATCTCGCAGTATGAACCAAAGTACCATCCAACAGCATCCTATTTTGCTAAGTACTGTATTGTGGGAGTTAATCCCCAAAGTGAAAGAGGAAAGCAGTTGACTACCATTTTACATATCAGAAGATTGATATACTGACAGAATGTGCATTTAGAAAACTAATGGCAGTTCAGAGAAGTAGAGGTGAAAATCTGAAAGAAGTGTAGGACTTAGGGGCTTCTAGTCCACATTTCAAACAGTCTTTGTGATCTTCAAACTTTTGTGGATTCAAAGCTGCTCTTTTCAGAATGTGACACCTGTGGAAAAAAAACCACAACATCTTAAAGAAAGAAGATTGAAATATAAGTCTCCAAAGTATACAAACCAGATTCCCATTTGCTTGAGTTCAAAAGGATGTTTTTCTGTTCCTGTTCTATGATATACATGTCTGAACATAGATGCTTGTCTTTGAATTAAGTTCTAAGTTTGTCCACCATTAATGGGAGTCAGTACAGGAGTCACATCTATCTCTAACTTCGAAATATTGTTGGAAGTTAAATGTCATAAAAATAAGAGACAAGAAAAAAAGTCCACTGTTTTTCTAGGTTGTCCTGGGGCCAAGAAGAATGAGTTCCTGACGAGTGTTTTGGATGCACTGTCCACAGATATGGTGCATGCAGTCTCTGATCCATCACTGTCTTCCAGCCGGTGGGTTTCAGATCCTTTTCATGTGTCTTTAAAAAGGTTCTGGCAGTGGTGAATGAATTGATGAAGTCCTTGGGAAGTAATTCTCCTGTCTTCACAAAAAGTAAATTTACAAGAACCTATCTAGGATAGTCTACTTCAAAGTTACCACTGTGGACTATGCTTACTCAGTAGAGATGCACTCAATGGCTGGATTCTCATCAGCCGCACAGCTTAGAATTTATCTATGCCTGCTGGTGCAACTGCATCTCAGTCTTCCTTCATTTTCTTATCAGACTTGATGAATGAATCTGACTTCTTGATTTATGTTTTGCCTAGTTAATTCTAAAACGAACCAATGCTATCAATATATACAGGCAGAATTGAAACTATAACTGTTGACAAATTTTGAACATCTGCAAGTCAGAAGCTTACTATCTGAAGAGGAGGGGCTAATATTATTATAATTTACCCTGAAATTCAAGACTTTGTTTTATATCTGAGACCATTCATCATGGGATGTAATTGGACTCCAGGTTTGTGGCCAACTATATCCTAAATTATACACAAAGGGCTATCTTCTTAATTAATTGTATTGGGGTGAGCGCAGTACTGAGAATACATTGCCTTCCCATTTCATTTCCTGAAACAGAAAAAAATGAAGAGAGAATTAAATGAGAGAAAGACAGAATCGTGAAAACATGTAACGTATGTAACTGAAGTATGTCATAAGTCAGTATCACGAAAGTGAAAAGAGTTGATTCACTATAAAGAAGCTAGTAGCCAAAAACAGAGAGGTTCATGGAGCAAAATATCTAACAGTGCTTTATGTATTCAAAAGAAAAGGTATAAACTGAGGTATGTGTATCAGAATAAAGAGTTGCGGGTTTTCTTCTTTTTTTCCATTGCAGGGTTTCAGAACCTGATCCAAATCACACTCTGGAAGAGAGAGTAGTCCACTGGTACTTCAAACAACTAGATAAAAATTCCAGTGGTGACATTGGAAAGAAAGAAATCAAGCCATTTAAAAGGTTCCTAAGAAAGAAGTCAAAGCCCAAAAAATGTGTGAAGAAATTTGTGGAATACTGTGATGTGAACAATGATAAGTCCTTGTCAGTTCAAGAATTAATGGGATGCCTGGGAGTAACAAAAGAAGAAGGTAAAGCAGAAACAAAGAAACGCCATAGTAAGAACCTTTTCTATCTTTTTGTCTAGATTCTTCAAAGACAAAGGCAAAGTCTGATATTTGTACATACCAGAAGTATACAGTATAAAGGAGTACACTTGCCAGTAACTAATAGAGCTTTTGCTTAAAGAAGATGACAAGGAAGCTGCTTCTGTGTATGCAAATTATTACTTTGCTCCAAGAGAATCAAGAACTTCCTTTGACTCAACCCAATGCTTGCTTTTTGGAGATATGTTTCTGCATTACAGCAGGAAACCTAAGATGATGTAATCTCTTTTCCATGCTTCTTTCCCACCAGACATAATAGACTAAATTTACTGCTAAAGATTTAATAAATTTGAAATGCTCAACACTGACTAAATGCAATCTGTCTTAAGCAATTGGCACATAATAACTGGCAAGAAATGTCATTCAGCTTTCATATAATTCCATGAAAGAAAAAGAAAAGGATGTTTCAATGAAAGATATGACATATTTTATCTAATTTTTTGAAAGTTGTGCAGTTACCCTGCTATAAAAATTGCTAATTCAGAATGAGAGTTTCACTTCTTGGGATACTATATATATCTTGCAAATCATATTAATAATGCTTTTTTCCCCCCCTTTAGCAGCCCCTAAAACCAATACTGAGAGCACTTCATCTAGCAGGCAGGTGAGTACTCAAGAAAGCACAATCTCTGTTTTCTTACCCATATGAATTCCTTGGGATTTTACAGGTTATCATTTGCAGCTTCAAAATGCATTAGTCTGCCATTTTACAGACCAGCAAAGAAAACAGAATAGCACACTATTAACAAATCTGGACTTCATTTCTATCTGTGGAAAGTTGAATTGGTCAACTACAGGTGGAGTAAATATGCAAAGAACACACAGTGGATTAGGCATGCCTGTGGATGTTCATAGTAAAGTATAAAGTGACATCTCAGTTAGAACTGATGGCTGTAAGTGAGCCCTCATATAAGTCTTCTGCATTCCTGAATGAAGTCACTGCCGTACGTTTTTAAAGGTGCGTTGTTTTATATTCATTTCACTTTTGTTTTTAAGTGAATTAAAACTGCTCACTTTCCTGTGAGTTATGCTACAGACACAAAGTTACATTGATTGAAATTACTCCTTGTGCAAAAAGCCATGAATTTCTCATACCATATGAAAACCCATACATTTTGTGTACACCACTGAATTATTGTATGGTGGTTTTAGATACCTTTTAAAATCTTAGTAGAGAGAAAAGAGCTGTCACACTGAAATGCCTTTGCTGGCTGAGCAAAATGATGCTGGAGAATGTAGGATTTGTAGCAGTCTGATGATGTATGTTTAAACTAAAATTGGTTTGGTCTGTGGAATGATTTTAAGAATTAAAATGTCAAGTGCCCTGACAACATAATCCATGATTTGTTTTTGTGTCAGTTTTCTGCACCTTTCTGAATAACTCCGGTGTATCTCACTCATAGACCTTTGGTTACACAAGGCATTCAGAGCTAAGAAGGCACAAAAGTAGAATTTTTGAATTTTTGAATAGAGGTAAAATAGACATTGAAGAGGAGGGATTCAAATGGAAGTGTAGGAGAAAGGTTAATAAAGGTTATTATGTCTGTGTTTCTGTTTTTATAATAATTCATCCTGTTTTTATAATCATTCAAAAGTATTCACTTTTATGGATTGCATGGGCACAACTTCCTGATGCTTTGGCAGGTGTCTGAAGGACTGTGAAGGAAATGAATCTGACAGTTATTTAATGATCTAATAAGAGAATCAACTTGTTACTGATCTTGCCTCACTTTTGTATTAGTTAGAGGAATCAAATGGTTACTGCCCACAAAAACATCAGTAATTGGTGATTTGTTTTAAAAGATACTTACGTATTATATCATCAACTCTGGTAACCCTGCATCTAGAAAAAGAGGAATTTGGCTAAAACATAACCCACTACTGTCGTTGTGTGGTCAGTGTCTTCCCATCTAAGAGAAAGCTGTATTAATTTGTTAAAAACTCAACACAGAGTGAACCCCCAACAAGCCAAAAGAAATGTTCCTCTCATGTTGCTGGCCAGTTTGTTACTTGCTTTATCTCTGATTTGTTTGATGTTAGATTCACACATCCTAAGGCAAGCTGAACATTGGTTGTTGGTTTTACCAGAGACCTCCTATATACCTTTGATGGAATATAAAATGTTCTAACAGCTAGGGGGATGTGATAAGTTTCTGTTTGTTTAAACAAATGTTTGTGGTCTTAACTTTTCAAGTCCCCTCCTACAAATCACTTATGCTTTAAACAAAGAAGCCTGAAAACAATTATCCTGTCGGAACTCAAAAGCATTCAAAGGGGTTATTTTAATTATACAATGGCAATTACTGGCACACGTGCATTACACTTGAAGCATGACTAGCCCTCTCTCTTTTCTCGTAATCTGATCTTGACTTGCAGAATCTGTAATAAAAGTGTCCTAGAGTTTCTATTTTTTTTAATTTTGTCCAATAATTTTGCTGAATCAGCACCAATTATTTTAAAAGCTGTTGCTGAGAAATGATAGCCTTGAATTAAGGCTGGCTCAGCAAACCATCTGTTGGCAGTTTCAGATTTGAACAATACAAGGCTGCAAATGCAGAAGGAGTTCCCTTGAAAGGAAGTTATTAAAAAGGAGCTGGGCCAAGTAGCTCCTTATAGGAAACCACCCAACTAAGAAGGAGTGATCAGATTGCCACTGCTCAGGAGATGGGCACTTAAAAGCTCATTTTCAACTAGAGCATTGTAGTAGTTAAATTATATATATGGTTATGTGTGCTTTTGCATGTATATATTGATGAATATGCTTTTTAAATACATGCATGTTTGCAGTTTTACATCTACAGAAGCTTACTGAAAGAAAGCAGATATGGATACATGCACTAACGTACCGAGTATCAGCAATTGCTGTTCCAAATGAGATCAAGGAAATGATGAATCTGACCCAATGAGGGCAGTGGCCAAGTATATTTACATTTCTCAGCTCCATCCTGCCCAACACACATACATACTTACATGCTGTCAATGAGACCCAAAGGGTCTTTTTGCAGCCTAACATAAAGTTTACAAGGAAACTATAGAATGTTCATAAGACTTTGGCCAGCAGCCCATTCTGTATGCATCACATGCCATGGAAAGGTATACTGCACCAGGGACTTGCCAAGGCAGTTGCAAAAACTGTGTGCTTGATAGGCATACGTTTAAGGAGACCACAAGTAAGAGAAATGGAAAAGATGGATAAAGGTAAGATAATGTTCATAGCCTTGTCTTTAGATTCCTGAGGTACTGCAGGCCTATGTATTTAATTGTATTTAATTGTTCAGAATTCTTGTCCTGAAGTGGCATGTGGACACTGCTGAAATATAAAGAGATAAATATTTATGCCTGATTGTTTGAAAACATCATTAATAAAGCAAATATTTCTAACTGTCTTTCAGCAAGTTTCCAAGAAGCAAGGGTGAGCAGCTTACTGATCCAAGGCAGAACTCTTTGACATGTGGGAGATTTCCTCACCAAAAGGCAATAAAAACAACTGTAGTATTTGCACTTTGTACTTAAAAATGTAAATTCACTTTGTAGAAATGAAATATTTAAACAGACTTTTTATAATCTGTGAAAATGTAATAGCTGGTTTTGAAAAATTATCACATACAATGTATGTGCATTCTTTTGTTGTCTGAAATATGTAAAACGTGTTGGAGATGTAAAAGTTTGCATTTAAACTTTTTTTTTTTTTTTTTTTTTTTAATAGCTCTTTGGCAAATATTAGCAAAGAAACCTGTTTCTATGTATTTTGGTTTCAATAGTATGCCTTCTTTTTCTTACCAATACTGTCATTTAAGTAGAATTATGCTGAAAAGTCTACTGTATTCTCAGTTATGTCCAAGAAATGTTGAATGTTAAGGTTTCTAAGATTGAGGGAAGTGTGTAAATTCCTGTTGACTTGTTCTTGCAGTTTTTAACTGCACAAATTTTTCACAAGTGGCAGTATTTTCTTCATTGTGTTTTTATTATTATGCTTCCCAAAGATCATGCAATGAGAACACAACCACTAAAGGATTCAAAAGTTATTCTACAGTTAGGATTCTGTTAGAAAAGTGTATCCTTCTATCTGTTTTTGAGGTGTGGTCATTTTCCTCATAGGAGTAAGGTGGATAGTAATGTGACTCCAGCATGGTTTAACCTGAGCCTAAAAGCATGATCCTGCAGTCAGCAAAAGCAGGAGAGGAGTCTGTATGAATCAGAATTGTAAATCTAACTATGAAGAGACAGGAACAGATTTGTCAGCCTTTTCTTCTCCTACACCTGGCTGTCCCCATTTGCCTTGGGGGTCTACCAGAGCTAAAGCTGAACAAATTATGAACAGTTCCTTTAAGGAGGGGCAATTCACCATTCCTGCCTGAAGTTTCACCTTGCTGTCTGAAAGACGTTCTTATAAGTTTTCATACCTCCTCTGTCATTTACCCCCACACAACACTTATTGTATGTGTGTTTGAGTGAAATAAGAACTTGTGATGTGAATTTAGAGCAGGAGACTCATGTAAATAAAGATTCAGCTCTTAAACTGTTGCAAATTACAAGCAGTTGGGTTGATTAATGTGGTGGTAGATGGACTGTGGCATCTAGGAACTGTCATGAAAAATCAGGAATGTTGCAACAAGCACTGATTTTGTTCTGGCTTGTTTAAATAATGTGTGAGATTTGACATGAGACTAGCTAATCCTAATAGAACCCTGGCTTGAGCATGCACCAGAAAAAGCTTTGTTGCAAATAAAAATGTTTCATTTTAATTCAACATATGGATATGTGCTGAAGTGATAGGAAACACTGTATACAATGGAACCATACCCCAGAAAATGTGTAGTCTTAAGCTTTGACAACAGGAGGTATCAAGATGAGAGACTGTGTTATCTTGTTTTTTTGTTTTTAAAAGTATTTGTTCTTTTATAATGTTAAACTTTGAATTTAATCTTCTTTATAGATTAAAGCTCAATATGCTATCAAACTATTCTAGCAGTTTTTCTTCTGCGACAAGCCAGCTTTGAAAGCAGGCACATACAAGTACAATTACTTCACCATTGCAGTAAGTTTATGAGAAACCTCGTGGTCTCACATTGTATCTGTCTTTCTCTCTTCACTTGACCCTTCATATTTAGATTCATACCTCATTTACTTCCAAAATTCATACCTTATTTTCACCACTATTTTCTCATAATAGTGATTTTTGAAGCCCGATCCTTTGTTACTGTCATTTCTATATAGCTTTAGCTGGTTCTTTTCGTGAAGAAAACATATCACATCTTTTTCCCTCAGTGTGATTGTAAGGTGCTGAGCAACCTTCCACCTGACTGGAAATGATAAGGAGAAAGAGGCAAAACATGAGAAATATTCAGTAACTCATGGGACCCAGGACAGTTAATAGAAGATTTATGTAAGATTTATGTATCAATGTGGCCTTCCTATATAAATGCATGCAATCAAATATTTGCTATGTCCATGAATGGAAGATGAATACCATGCCCACAGATTTGAAGCAGCTACCTATTTAAACTGGGAACTTGTGTAGAGAACCAAATTTGGACTAACCACCTGGTTACTTAAACAGTAGCCTTAATAGATTTTGAAATCGCAAATAAATTCTATAGGCGTTCTCTCGGGTATCCAAAATCTTCCACAGCATTGAGTGATCTAATGACTCCACAATGACAGAAATTCAAGGTATTTCAACTTCATAGATTTGTATTGTCACACATATGGGCCATTTTAATTTTCATTACAACATTTTTCTACAAGGAATACCCAGTTCTCATGGATCTATGTAGATCTGTGTTCAGATCCCTTACTGGAATACACCTGGTAAATTCACTTTTGTTTCCTATATTTACTTTAAATAAACAGAATAGTGAAACTTGAAGAAATTTTGGCCCTTTTAGTAGTAACCAAGCATGGCCTTGATAACAAAGAATCCTTGTGAATTTGCCCTCAGGGTTACAGCAGAGTACCAGTATTTATTTAGTTCCACAATAATGAATTAGTTCTAGTATTTACCCTACTTGATGAGTTGCAACAACTGAGATGCAGTTTTAATTCTGCTCTTACTGAAAGCTGCATGGTAACTGCTGAGTCACAGCCTGAACCACTGATTGGGCACTCGGTCAACCCTGGGAGCACAGGTGAAAGCAATTCACCTGTGTGACTGGATGGGGTGGAGCTTGGCTGCACCTCTTTTAGACCTCATTGAAGGGCTGGCTGACCCCCTTAAAGAAGCTTTCCCCTGTGAACTTAGAATCTTCTCATACAGGTAGGCAATCTTCTTCCCTTTCTTCATGCCACCTTTCTATCATGTTAGTCCTTCTGCCATCACAGCTCTGTTGTAATACTTTTCCCATCATATTGGTCTGTCACACAGTACATTGCATGTTCTGGTTCTCACTGACCATTATTTGTTCTAGTTCCAGTTGTTAAATGTTTATTTAGAGCTTTTATATTGTTGTACATAGAAGGCTAATGACATTATAAAATATCTGTATGTTCAATGATTTGTCCAGTCTGTTGTGATATCCATTAGTCAACAGGCCACACATTGAGAAACATTCCATATTTTGTCAATACTTGTGATAACTTTCTCATCCTGATCCTAGCCCTGGAATTAGGTCAAATTCATAGTTCCAATTTTACCAAAGCACATCGTTCTCATTCTTCTCCCAGTCTAACAATGTGCCTAGCTTTTAAACCCTAATTTTTCAGAACTGCTCCATATATGATTGCTTGGAATGACAGTGTTTCTTGATAATGTCATTTGAGGTAATAAAAGAAGAACACAACAAACATCAATTCACATGAACATAAAGGAGAAGACAAACTAAGTACTCTCTATGTAAAACCAGCATTACACTTTGCACTTTCCTCATTGGGAACAGGTTTTTGCCCTTAATAAATGCATTAAGCCAATGAAGAAAGCAAGCATTCCTAGAAAGTGGAAGGAAGAATTTAAATAGAGACCACATTAAAGACATTTAAGTGTGTGCATAGTTTGATAGATTTAGTTAATGTTTTCATTTTACAGTGGTAATAAAAGATGAATTAATGGGGTTAAGAAATCTTCCCTGGCGAAGATATTTTAACTGTTCCTTTCAAATATTTACACTAGCATATAACTACATTTTACATTACAAACTGGTGTGAGAGAGATTTTAATGTAGAAAGTGAAAGGTTTATTACTTTTTTTTCTTTAAGATGGCAAATTGATATCATTTTGGAGTAATTACTTTGACATTAAATAGCAACCAACTAAATTTACTAATGCTTGAAACATTGGAATGATTATAGTGAATTACTGATACAGACTGTTCTTTGTCCCTTTTAATTATTCTGGTTTAAGTTTTATAAGTAAAAATATGCCCTTTGTTTAAAAAGCATAAATGTTGCTTGTTATTTTTTTTCTTTAAACAAAAGTGTATGTGGAAAGCATTCAGAACAACACACATCTCTAGAATGTCAAATGTGATGGGTGGCATGGGGAGAAAGAAGCCTGTCTGCTTTTCATCTGGGTTAGCAACAGAAATATTTGCAATAATCTGCGTTTTCTATGTTCACCTTTCCTATTTTGTCATATACTTTGTCCTCTGATTAATTTCACTGCTGAAATATAAAACATATTGGGAGGGAAGGCAAAATTAGAATCAGCTCTGTGCACATGAGCAGTCTATTCTATGATCACCTCCCTGCTCCTGCTGGCTGCACTATTTCTGATACAAGCTAGGATGCTACTGGCCCTCTTGGTCACCTAGATATACTGATGGTTCATGTTTAGCTGAGCATTGACCAACGCTCCCAGATCCTTTTCCACCTCATGCCTTTCCAACCACTCTGCCCCAAGTCTTTAGCATTACATATAGTTGATCTGTCTGAAGTTCAGGACTTGGAACTTGGTCTTGTTGAACCTTACACAATTGGCCTCAGCCCATTGATTCAGCCTATGTAGATCCCTCTGTCAAGCCTTCCTATGCCCAGGCAGATCAATGCTTCCTCCCAGCTTGATGTCATCTACAAACTTAATGCAGGTGTACTCAATCTCATTGTCCAGACCATCAATAGAGGTATTAAACAGGACCAGTTGCTTGTAGAATGCTCTATCTGCCTATTCGTCCTAGTTGGGCAGTGTACAACAGATCCCCACCAGGATGTCAATCTCACTGGCTTTTCTCTAATCCTTAACCATAAGGACTTAACCTTATTATTATCAGAATTGAGCTCTATAGAATCAAAACACCCCCTAATGTATAGAGCTTCCCCACCATCCCTCCGTCCTTGCCTATTTATCCTGAAGAGCTTAAAACTCTCCATTACCGCATCCCAGTGATGAGAGCGATCCCACTATGTTTTGGTGATAGCAAATACATTATAGCTTGCTTTCTACACCACATCATCCAGCTCCTCCTGCTTGTTGCCTATGCTGTGTGCATCAGTGTAGATATGATGCATCTGGGTTATCAGTCTCATCCCTAACCCAGGAGTGCTGCTCCTAGACTCATCTCTAGCAAGCCTTGTTTTATCTCTTTCTACTTTCAAACCTTGTTTAAAGTCTTCTCAATGAGTCCCAACAACTCCTGGGCAAGAATCTTCCCTTCCAAACAGGTGAATCCCATCTGTTGTCAGCAGGCCTGATGCTGTATCAATTGCCCACTAATTAAAAATAATAAGTGAATGTACCTTTCAGCTATGTGTTGATCAGGTGGGTGTTCCTTTTCCTTTCTATATTTTTCCCTGCTACTGAAGGGATTGAGGAAAACACCACCTAAGCTCCTGCTTGTTCTTCTTATCACCCCAGCACCCTAAGGGTCTTTTCAATAGCACTCAGTCTCTTTCCACAACTTCACTGTTGTTAACTTGAACCAACAAAAATAGATAATAATTGGAGGGCTATACTAGGGCAAGGAGCTTCCCAAAAAAGCCAGTTTTCTGAACAATTATTTGTTATGCTTCATCTGATTTCATTTTACGGTTTCTAGGTATCTTTCTATGTCTATATGAGTCAAAGAAGTGCTACATTTTTACTTAACTGGGTTAGTGCCCCATGAACTGACAGATTTAGCACTGTATGCAGACAGAACATGAAGAAAACCGCAATATGGGTAAGCCTATTTATACTAGTTGAATCTACACAATACAGCCGAAGCAATGAAGCCAGTTGGTGAAGCAGTGCCAAGTAGTGACCTGCAGATATATATAGGGCACTACTCTATCTTGCAAAGTAAGCCTGCTCTGAGACTGAATGTAAACAAATTTACACCTAAACTTGTGTGCTAGTATATCCTCATCTTTTACTGGTCGTTTAATCTAAATGTTTATGCATGCCAAACCTCACTTTGATCAGTACCTGAAAAGCAACTCTAGCTCTGTCAGCATGCAGCTCCCTAGGTAGTTTTCTTGAGCCTATGTTCTGGGTTCGGTCTTCAGAGACCTCAGGCTGGAACATCAATGGAAACAAGAACCAGAACATCTGCTCCGCAGATGAGAGGTGTGCTTCTCTCAGTCTGTAGTGTATTTCTTTGTGTTAAACACAAAGGGACCTAGGAAGAAACAAAGAACAGAAGGTACACGGGTGAAAATGACATAGCTTTCTTCTTTCTGAGCACAGCATCTTGCTCAGATGCTGCAAATCCACTTTCTGACTAATAAAAGGAAGTCCAGCCTGTCCTTGGTTTGTTTCTCTGTCCACACATAAGGTCTGAATTTCGTCTTCTGTATTATAGTGACTCGAGTGCTTTGTTCCAAGAGACATTTGTTTTCATGGCCAATCCCATGGCTTTCTTTAGATCCAGGAAGTCTAAACAGCATTTAACAAAAATGTGAAAGCAGAAACCGGCATCTTTCTAAATTAAGAGCAGATTGGAACAGGATGAGGAAATCTGAACCACAACAAAGATAAATTCCCTTTTGTATTACTTATTCCCTAAAGATGCAAGCAAAGTGTAATTGGATTTTTTTTTTAATGATTTTGTTCATTGTACCAATAGATACTCTACAGGCTGATACCCTACAGTTCAACATATTCTTTAATCAACACATTGATGGCAAAGGATTACAAGGGAGTACTGGCTTCTCATTGTCTTTTTTTGTGGTTGCCTTTATGTTCACTCATGGGGTGGCTGAAAACTAATTACATAAATACTTCTGAAAATCTTTAATCTTTAATCTGAAAGTTTGTATCTGCGTGTGAGAATGAAAAACACAGAGAAACAGAGTGCAAGAAATATGTTCAAGAGAACTTTGGAGTCTACAGAAAATACCATAGGTTCAAACTGGAATTATTTTCAAGGTACCAAATGTTGTGATGACCTGATGACAAGCAGCTTGACCTCATTAGACTTGAATGCTCATCCAGAAAATGACTTAGAAAATAGCTAATGACAGGAAATGCCTCATACTTCTTATTTTCAGAGGTGTCTTAGAGAAGGTAAAGGACCAAGTATATTATATGCTATCCTAATGCAAATAGAAAGCAGTCATAGGTTGGGATAGGGGAGGTCATAGCTGGGATAGGGAAGAGGGCCAGCTACATGCCAATGCACAGCTCAGAGGTAGATGGTGAAGTGGCTTACCATAAGGATGCCCAGCCAATCTGTCTCAGAGTCAGTGTCTGCTTCACTGCTTAATGCAATGACTGTCCATTGCAATGGCATGACTGTCCAGAACGTACGTCCTTGCAGCAAGAAGCACAGCCAGTTCAAACTGATGTTTTCAGTACAAATTCTGCCTGGAAGTTTTTCACGTGAAGTTAGTCTTTATGATATAAAATGCAAGAAAATGTCAACTGGCACAAATTTACCAGTTGCTTGGAGTGCACGCAGAGGTGTGTGTGTGAAAGTAAGACTGTTATAAATTCCAGTGCCTCTGTTGCATGTCACACTTTTAAAATAGAAAGAAAGGATCGTTTATTTCCTGAAATCAATGGCATGCAGCTTCCCAGGGCTCAGTGTCCTATTTACAATGAGAAACAGGGATCAAGGCAATAGCGTGAGCCAGTCTTTGTGTCGAGATGGTCCAAATGCCATAGTTGTTTATTTAGAAGCACTGAGAAAACACCTCTTGGCATTTCCCAGCCAGTCAATATGCTAACGTTTATGGTACATCAGAAGAGTTTCATATCCTTCTCATGTTTTTCAAAAAAGTGAAAGAATTGCTGTAGCTGAGAACCGGAAGGTCTGCTTTTTTCCCGTCGTAGAATTAGGATTGCAAGGGGTGTCTTCTAACAATATAAATCACTTTTCAAATATGCCATTGCTCTTAACTAGTAGCTAAACATATAAATCAATGCTGGAGCAGAGAGACTCGGTCTTCACGTTTTCCTCTTCAACTTCTATTTTTTTCTTTTAAATTTCAACTTTGCAGTTGAAATTGCTTAAGAAATTGATCTTTATGACCTGAGCCATAGAAATAAAACAGTAACAGTGTCTACTCATTTTGAAAATATTTTCAGGTATAATTCTTGCCTCAGTTTATGTTAATTCACAAATGGGAAATATAGGCCTCATCACAGAGAAGTCAGTAATGGGTACATTTGAGGCCTTGGACAATTGCAACTGTTAGTATATTTTACTGTAATGTGATACTAGATTTTTTTTTTCTTATGGGATTTGAAGTGTTTTTCACATCATTGAATACAGTACTTGAAACAATTGCTTTATTAATTGAACAGTGTTAAACTTCTGACAGTAGAATACACAGGTGAGAGAGACCTAAGAGGTCATCTCATCTAGCATAAATATATTGATGACAGTGTTTTGCTGATGGTGTTTTCACATTTTGCTCTTCACGTATTTAGATAATATTTAGTTCCCAATATTAATCTATTAATTGATATTTAAAAAAAAATAATAAAAAACAGTGAAACACCAAAAAAATAATCTATTTTAGGAAAAAGAAAATGACATTGTGTCAATGAAGCCACTCTAATCCAAGTTTTGTTAATGTTCATCTTTTATACGCAGTTCCAGAAGCAAAATTCAGCATATACTGAACTACTATGTTATTCTGCCATACTACAGGATTTCACAGTTTCCCATCCCTTGAGTATCTGCCATAAGCATAAGGGAGTTGACTACATCCTAACCCTGACATAGTTATAGACTATCACAAAACTATGAAATAATTGAATGTGGCTAAAAGCCTGTGTTAAGAGACAGCAAGGACTGAAAATACAAAGGATGCAGGTGGAAGTGCAAAGGCAAAGCTGCATGTGGAAACTTGTAAAATGCCTTCTTATGCTATTTTTAAGCTTGTCTTCTGGTGAACTTTCAACTCAGTTTTTTTTTCAAGAGCAACATTTATTAGAAGAACAT